CAGGCTGAAATGAAGAAGGAAGTGAAACACTCAGTAAGCCAATTAGAAATGACAGGAGAAAGCCTCACCAAAAGGATGAATGAAATGGAAAACAGAGTATCAAGACTGGAAGAAAAAGTGGACAAACTAGACCAGTCAAGCAAAGATTATGAAAAATTTAAGAAATCACAAGAATGGAATATGCAGGAATTATGTGACACCATAAAAAGACCAAACTTACAAATCATAGGAATACAGGAAGGAGAAGAATACCAAGATAATGACATGGACCAGATCTTCAACAGAACAGTGGAAGAAAGACATGCCAAATAATTATAAGAAGCATATAGAACACCAAACAGACAGGACCAGAAAAGAAACTCTCCATGGCACATCATAGTAAAAACACTAAACGCACAGAACAAAGAGATAATACTGAAAGCTGCAAAAGAAAAACAACAAGTCACATATAAAGGAAAACCCATTAGGATTACAGCTGACTTTTCACCTTAAACTATGAAAGCCAGAAGAGCCGGGATCAAAGCATTACCGGTTTTAATTGACCACAGATGCCAACCTAGATTACTATACCCAGCCAAAATGTCTGCTATAGTCGAAGGGTAAAGAAAAATCTTCCATGACATAAATAGGCTGAAGGAATTCTTGTCCACAAAACCAGCCCTTCAGAGAGTTCTGGGAGCAATACAAAGAGCTGAAGAAAGGAATGACTATACCCAAAGAGTTGTAGAAAGAAATTCAATGAAGATATAACTGTGGAAATGTACAGTTATATCCAGAATGTAAATAGAAATAAAAATGACAGGATTCAATACTCATCTTTCATTAATAACTTTAAATACCAGTGGACTGAACTCCCCAGTCAAAACACACAGACTATGTAAATGGATTAAGAAACAAAACCCATCTTCTTGTTGTCTGCAAAAAACTCATCTCACTTTTAAGGACAGACACTATCTCAAAGAGAAAAGATAGAAAAAAATATACCAAGCAAGTGGCACTAAGGAAAAAGCAGGAATAGCAATTCTAATATCTGACAAAATAGACTTTAAACTAAAACTAATCAGAAAAGATAAAGAGGGCCACTTCATTTTGATCAAAGGAACAATGAATCAAGAAGATATTACAATCATGAACATATATTCACCAAACCCTGGTGCACCCAACTTCATAAAAAAAAATACTACAGGACTTCAAGACTCAAATTAACACCAACTCATTAATAGTAGGGGACTTCAATACGCCACTATCTCCATTAGATAGGTCAACAGGCCAGAGACTT